CTCCATGAAGTAAAATTTCATCAACTGTTTAATCCCTTTAGTAAGAGCACTACTTTTGCAATTTTTCTCCTTTTAATTTTTGAAACTGTGTTATTTTCCAAATCTTTTATGCAACTATGTGCAGTTTATAACAAGAAGCACTTTCCTATAGCTGTTCGTCCTGATCGACCAGCACGTTCGTAGGCAGACGCCGTGTATATGGGAGCGACCATTAGTTGAGGAAATGAGTTGTCTCCTAATATGCAGAATAAGGTTGGTGGCAGTTGCTACACATAAGTTTATTGCACATGTTGCTACTGATGCTCTCCGGTATGTTATTATGTATCTTTCTGATTCATTCCCCCCCCCCCCCCCCCAAACCCCCCCAACACACACAGAAAACTTTTATTAAGTAAGCTGCTAATTCTTCAGCATATTCGTCACACTGATTTTGTCTTACTTCTCCAGGCTTCAACATGATTGTTATGCCAGTTTATGTGTTTGCCATTCTATGACACTTCTATTGTTAAGTTACAATTTGGTTAGGCAGGGTGGTGTTGACACAGATTGAGTGACACAAATTTTTCTTCTTTCACAAAGAGCAGTTCATTTCCGATGTACCTGCTAGATTAGCAAAGTGCATCAAATCAGAAGCCTATGGTGATGCAGTAAAATACTATACGGGAGCCATGCCCATATTTAAGGTTCCCAACGATCTTTGGGTCCACCCACACCTTTACCATTTTCATAATATAATTGCATTAAAAATCTTACTTTTGTTGATGGTACTTATTTGTACTAGGCATATGGGGACAGTTCATTCCATGACTACAAACGAGCCTCAGAAGAAGCAATTGCTGTCATTATTAAAGGCTTGCAGGTCTGTAAGTCATCCAATTTATTGGTTGGGAGTGGCCATTTTATCCCATGGAGGTAGTTATACTGTTTCTATAATTCCAATGCAACAAGTAGATCCCTACGACTTCTTTTGAAGGAGCATAAGATAAACATAAAGTAGGGAATGCAATTTTTCTCAACATATACCCTGCTTATTTTCTTTTACTGTGAACAAAACAGTAGGTAAAAACCAGAAAAAAAAAAACTTAAGTCTCACATATACTCTAACATAATAACTTTAATGTTAAAGCTTAAAAGTATTATCCCACACCGCACACAGCCACACACACAAAAACACAAAATTAAAAGTGAAAACAGATTATGCAAGCATGAAAAGGACTAATACCTTGAATTAACGCTATATTACCAAATAGTTTATACTATGATCAAATGTTTCCTTATTTTAAATTGCGTGTTTGTTTTCCAGCACATTGTAAATATGCCTGGTGACAAGAAGTTGATGTTGAAATTTCCTGCCTTCAATGTCATTAATATTGGATCACATGCCGGAAACAAACTTGCAATGCAGGTATGTCATTTATCTCCGTCCACTATGTTTCTGAGTTATATTTAGACGTAAGTGTCTGCCTCTCATTGAAAATATGTCTCAATTAGACCTTGATCCAAACCGAAAACAACAGCTCCAGGTCTTTAAGTAGACCTTCACTTGGTGTAATTTCCCTTAACTCAAACTTCATCAACTCTTTAATCCCTACAGTAAGAGCACGACTTTTCCAACTTTGGTCCTTTGTATTTCTATAACTGTGTTACAGTCCAAATCGTTCATGTAGCTATGTTCAGTGTATAACCGGAAGCACTACCCAAGAGCTGTTCGTCCTTATCGACCAGCACGTTAGTTGGCAGACGCTGTCGCTATGGCAGCGACCATCAATGACTCGGTTCCTGTCCCAAGTTTGTAACACTTGATCTTAACATTATAAAATATTTTCATAGTAACATTATAAAATTTAAAATATTAACCATAATGGAAGAAATAACTTAGCTTTAGTTTTCTGTTTTATCTATGGTGTATGGATGTCTTCATCAAAACTATTAAAGTTTTGTACGTTAGTCAACCTTTGCCACGAATCGTCAACTTATATTTATTTACTTTACATCCAAGCTAGACAACCATCTTACTAGCTCAAATTAAGCCTATTTTCCCAACTGGATTATTCTGTAATCATTTTTTCCTTTAGTTTAAATTGACTTTCAGCACATTGCAAATGTGGAAGCTATTTAGACGTAAGGTTGTACCTCTCATTATAATAAATCTTCTTATTAGTTAGTTATGATTGCAGAATTTGGCGGGTTCGACTCCTATACCCTTGGATGATAGAACACTGAATTACCTACATAAATCATTGCAGCAATTCTTATTATATCTGGAGAGCTATTGTACATGCAACAATCATGTTTGACAGCATGGCTTCTACACGAAACTCACCCATTTTTCCACCCACTTTGGTTAACTTACCATCCTCATCAACGACAACAAGCGCACACAACAGCTCCAGCGCTTTAAGTACACCTTCAGTTGCTGCACTATCCATCAAGTCAAACTTCATCAAGTGTTTAAGTCCTTGTGTAACACCACGACCTAACGTAAGGTTGGTACTTTGTATATCTTCAACTGTCTTATCTTCCAAATCGTGCATGTACCTATGTGCAGTGTATGACCTGAAACACTTCCCAGGAACTGTTCGTTCTCATCGACAACCAGGTTGGTTGGTAGACGCCTTTGAAATGCGAGCGACCATAAATAACTCGGTTCCTGTCCGAGGTTTGTATTACTTGATCTTAACATTATAAAAATTTATCATAGTAACATTATAAAATTTTTCAGCTTAACCATATTGGAATAAATCACGTGGCTTAAGTTTACTGTTTTATCTATTGTATATGGATTTCTTGAAACTAAAATGTTACAATTTTATATCGCAGTTTACTTTTGCCCCAAATCTTAAACTTATATGAAGCAAAGGTTTACTACTAAACATCATATTTTATTTTCTTAAATTTATAGGGCTCTAATGAACATAACGAGTTCATCGATATTGCAAACACATCAACCAAGATAGGTACTTCAATTGCCGCAACAATCATCGAAGAAGATCCGATGCACAGTTCTATGAAAATAAGATCAAAAGCTGGTTTAAATAGAAGGAAACAGCTAAACTTAGTGCATTTGTAACAGTTGGAGAATCCAAACACAATGTTACAAGTTATTTTATTAATTGTATTGATATGAACTACTTATTACTATCATTTCATGTTATCCCTGCTACCAAACTTTCCGGTTTAGTTTGTTTTTTCTACGAGACCAATACATAATAATTTGCTTTGACAAAATTTGTGGTATACACACATATGACATGATAATGTCCATATTTATTTTTTGATTTTCAATATGTACATTTGTATTATAAATAAGTCATCTGACAAGTACATTGCAAACTATGAAGCTATTTTTGGCTGAAAGGTGCCCGTAAATGCGGCAGAATATCGGTGTAGCGGAGGTTTGATCGGAGAGGAAAATTGTTATAGTTGAAGAGAATCTTAGAGAACAGTTTTAACGATCCCGTCAGTTATCCTTCCATTACTCAAATAATCACGCCTTCTTTTCCAAAATTACTGAAATCGTGTTTATTGTGATATGTTAGTTCGCCTAGGTTCATTTTTAGTTTTTAAATATAGCAGTAATTAAACATCAAACAGTTTGTTCTCTACCCATATACACCCCACGTTTTCCCTCTCCCTACCCTCACGTTCAACTCATTTCCTTCACATCTCCATTCACAAATCATCCCCACTTCCACACTATACCCACTTCCCCACTATACTCAGCCCATGATACTGTAAATTCACAACAACAGGGAGATGTCAAAGAAGAAAAAGCTACAGAAAAAGGAAAACGTAGGGAAGTTCAAAAATATTACGTAAATATTGTTTATTCTACATCAGAATAGTTTCCACTGTCTAAATTTTATCCCCATAACAACGGTATGATCTTTAATCCGCTTCTTGCATATTTGCGATTTACATTATTGATCCTAACACATTGTTTTTTTTAACAGTTTATAAATTATCCATATTTGCTATTTCATCTTATTTTATCTCTGTTTTTCATCGCATTTAGAGTCCTTTCATTTACCATAATGTCGTTTCTGTTCTTATTTAGCTAATACCTGACATTGTCTTTTCAAATAATTGTTTAAATACATGAATATATTCAAATAATATACATGTCCAATATTATAACATTCACATGTTATAGCTACAATTATAGTTTCCTTTCTCCTATTTCAGATATGGCTAAAAATGGACACATTCAAATTACTCTAACTACAACTTCTCAAAGTCAAGGAATGAGACAACGTTCAAGGGTACGTCGTCACAGCAGTTATTCCTTTAATCATTCTGACTCAAAGCTTGAAGTCATCTGCAGTGTCCCAAGGGCGATACAAAATACGTTAAGAGATCGAAGGGCTGAAAGAAGGGAAAAAGAAAAAAAATATAGAGAGCTTAGGCCTACACTAGATGTACATATTGCAAATTATAAGCTTACTCGAGATGTACTAATAGATGCTATAGACAAAAGTATACTATATGATTGGAAAGCTATATCAATTTTAGTAGATTCACTTGCACAACCTTTAGGTAGTATTTTAACAGACATTTATCACGAGGTTTGGCCAAGTGAACCTTTTTGGGTTTATATTCTTAAATTTGAAGCAGAGTGGGAGAACCGTCTCTACGACTACCTGTAATTTTTTTTATTAATGAAAGTTTTTATTTCTTTGCAACATTACCTGTCATTTAACTTCTTTTTTCTTTTTCTTATGAGTATTATATAAGATAAATAACATAATGTAATAACACTAAGTTAATCCTTCAAAAAATGCAACTTTTACGACATATCCAATGTTTTAAAAGAGGAAAAATATGAATACACACATTACTATACGCTGTTTACTTGATTATATGTAATTCTCATGTATAGTAATACTTTACAATCTTTTTTTCGTCTTTTCAAATGAAAAATTAATGAGGAATCTATATATAGACATGTAGTAACAAATATGAATTCATCCAAAGTAGCCTCGCAGTACAATATATCTTTATAAATGAAAATTTAAACTTCAGTTATGTTCCTTTCTGTGAGTATAAACTATTAATAGATATTTATATTGTTTGGCCGCAGCAATTGTTAAGGAAGTAACAGAGAAAAATAATATGGCAGCAACTATGTTATGATTGAAATATTCTCATAAATTTTACTCACTCTGTTAAACTCCCATTATAACTTTTAAGAAATTTTGTATATTGGTTAATATAATAAATAATATATTCAACCAAAAATTAATCGATAATTATATAAGTACCTTTGATTTAATAGAGATTTTATTATTGTGTAGATCGTATTCACACATAATATAAGAAATGTTCCTTATTAAACAAGGCATTGCATGGGCTTAAATAATTATTCGCAGCGAGTAATTCTTCACGTTTCTTGAAACACTAATCTCCAAGTTGAGCCAAATTTTACTTGCTACTAAACTATAAATGTGATTTCATAATCTCTTTCTCTCTATATCAACTTGGGATGGACGGTTGATTTGGTATATTATTGATGAAGCTATATATAGTTTTCATGTAGAACTAACATGGAAAAATAAATCAAATAAATGTAATTTTATTTAATTTGTGATTGCTTTCGGCTTTTTCTCGGGCTTCGATTTCTAAAAACTTAAATTAAGCCAAGGAAGCATGTAGTTTGTAGTGGAAATCAGATAGTTTATTATATGTGGCTACACATACACTTCTGTTACTTACTCATCATTTTAATGCATACATAATTAAATCACATAATTATAGTAAGTTAAGTTAAATTAAATTGTCATTGTACATAACACAATATCTTACGGGAATTTAGGCTACATAAAATTATTTTTCCTACCTTACTTGCCTTATTATAAACTTTCGTCGATCAAATGGTTTAAATTTTACGATTGATCAAGTTATAAAAATATGAGCTGGTTAAGCAACTAAGTTAATAATTTATTATATTTTTTTCTTCGTATTTTCCGCGCATCGCGCGGGTACTATACTAGTTTTTTTTAATAAATAGGGTATTTAAAATAGGTGGTTTAGTAATTTAACATTAGCAACGATTGAAACCAAACCAAATAGAAAATAGAAAATGGTAGTTACATTAGTGACTAATCATTTGAAGAATTATATCCCTTTAAAATAAATTTGTCGTTTTATTAATTCAGAAGGGATGCGATACTTGTATTTACTCTATAAAAGGACACAAAATTTTAGAAGAGGCCACTTTAAATTAGATTTTCTTTTCTTTATTTAAATATTAGTATTTAATATTAATTTTAAATACCTAAATAAGGTATTTAGGTTATTTAAAAGGGTAATTCAGTAATTTAACTTTTAACTTTTGAGGTCCCTACTTTTATAATAATATAGATATAGATAATCCTAGTATCATTAAGTATATATCAAATGATGCAGTGTATTATTTACATTTGTAGATACCTAAAAGAATTTGGCATCTATTTAATGTCAGAGAATATCGCAATTTAATCCCAAAAATCTCTCCTAAAAATTAGGACTTCACTTTTATCTCCTTAATACATTCATTGCTAACACATCATTCTTCTCCCGCCCATAAATCATGTTTAACTTCTCCTATATTCTTTTCCAATAGCCTCTTAATAAAATGCACAATATATATATATATATATATATATATATATATATATATATATATATATATATATATATATATNAGGAAAGAGCGTCTAAATGATGACTTGTTTAATCAATATGATTTACCTCAAGTAATATTTGAGGAAGAAGGAGAACACGAATAAGTGCCAGATGAAATAAATGGACCTAGCTGGACAACTGAAGATTCGCAGTTTATGAACAATATGCGTGAAGTACTTGCATTTCAGCTAATGCAAAGAAGAGGAAATGCTTGATAATTTTATATTTTCGTTATTAGAAATATATTTTAGTGTTTGAACATTAGAATTTGACATAATGTTTAAGTAGTATTTTATTTGAGTTATATATATATATATATATATATATATATATATATATATATTATGTTCATATATGCATCCATATCTTCCATTTTCACACCCAAACTCGACACCCAAGTATTATACCTAACCTAAGTAAATGTTAATCAAGTTGCAGATACCATTTTTATACCTAAACACAATTAAATAGACAAAATATCCATGTAATTTTAAGAAAAATTAGTACATACAGTCATACCTCTCTATAACAACATCCCTATATAACAACACTTCACTATAAAAGCCTAGCTTTTTCGGGAACCAATTTTCATGTTATGTTATAATACATGTGCGATGACCCGATAGGTCATCTCATGTTTTGAAACCTAATTCTATTGTCCGAAGCCTTAAAAATCATGTTGTAGCCTTCCTCGATTTGCATGCACAGTCCGGGCGTCTTTCCTGAAAGCTTTTGTGTTAAAATCTGATAAAAATAAGAAAATTTGCTTTAAAACTTCATTTGAGTTGACTTCGATCAACATTTTTGATAAACGGGCCCGGGTTCGTGTATTGACGGTCCCGGTGGATTCGTATCATGATTTGGGACTTGGGTATACCCGGAATTGAAATCGGAAGTCCCTAGCCCGAGATATCGGACTTTGTCGAAATTTGATAGTTAAAGACTAAATGAATTGGAAATGTTTGACCAAAGTTTGACTTTTTGGATAACGGGTCCA